AGCATTGTGTCTAAAGTGAAATATAACATGCACACAACTACCTCCCTCGTAGAATTTGTCCATAATCAAGTTCAGGGTAGATTCTTTGGACAATCTATGATGTGAGATAAAGAAAATAAGTTTTAGTAATGATCTTCAGAGTGAGAATCAAATGTAACCCTCTTTTCAATGAATAAGGTTATAGGACTACGAAAAAATGAGGCTTTACTCAAAGCAACAATAGCAAGTCAAAAATTAAATTATTTATAAATGTGGCAATGAACAACGATGAATATGTATATGCAAATAAACTATGAACTACGCCAAGGGAAAATGACAAAAATAAAGTGAAAGGGCACATACCACATGCCAATCTTCCACCAGCATTTCCGGTGCTTAGACTAAGTTCATGACCACCTGCATATGAAAAACAAAAGGGATTGAGGATGAAAGACAGAGAATTTGAACATTACAAGTGAAGAATGAGTGTCATCCATAAGACGTCTCGATTAAGATTGTGAAATTTTACCCTTTCCAAGGTCATCCTCAAGTTCATGAACCACAAAAGCTCTTCCAACAACAGAATAAGGACCAGTCAAAGCTATCTGCAAAATTTAACCATGGAAATCTCATTGAGAATTATAAATTCCTTTGATGGACTACAACTATGATGAGACAAGCACGTGCGCTAACAGAAATAGATGCTTCGTGTAGAGATGTAGAGCGAACGACCTGATTGTCCACTATTGTAGCTTCAGCCACACCTGCGTCAACATTCAAGTAGCAATAAAACAAATATTATGATTACAAATTCAAGTGAACAAATAGGCGATTAAAAATGTATTAAGAAGTTACCGCTGGCATCAGCAACTATGTTTCCCAGGTCACCCGCATGGCGAACTTTATCCTCAGGAGCTCCATGTGTCAAACCATTTGGATTAAAATGTGGTCCTATTAGGAAGAAATCACGCCAGCATTAATAATCTAAGGAAAATGCCTTTATCTAATTCTTTTGAACTAAAATTAAAAAAAAAAAAAATTCGAGTCCCAACCTGTTGAGATACACCCATTTGTTGTATCGCCAAACTCGTGCTACAAAACCCAAATAAAACGATAATAAGTTTCACAATTTCGAAGGTAGTAGATCTTTTTCCTGCATTATATAGGAAAGAAATACGCATAAGTCTAAGAATTGTTAAAATTTAATAACAACAAAAATACTCACTAGATGAAATCCATGTTTACCCGGTGTAAGTCCAGTCACACGAACATTTACAGTAGTTGGACCTAAAAATTTCGAAAACACAATGTCAGAATCTAAAGCCCAAAAAATTGAATTTGAGTATCTGCTTGTATGAGTGTGTGTAATTAGTAAATGGAAAAGAGAGATGGAGTTGACCTTCAGCTTCTTGGGTAAGAGTGACAACACCCTTGACATTGGAGGTGCCCTTGAGGACGGCAACTGCCTTCTTGGTAGCGGAGGAAACGACGGCCAGAGGCCTCGGTGCGGCGAAGGCCGAGGAGGACAAGTATAGGCGGGTGGTGGCTTTGAGAGAGAGGCCGTGGAAGGAGGAAGTAAGTGGGAGTGATGCCGAAGAGGTGGTGGAAATGGTGGGATTGAATGAAAGAGGGAGAAGAGAGTGGTGGGGTGTTGAATACAGAACTGTTTGTGCGGCCATGACTGCAAGTGCTTCTTGCATCGTCAACGATTGGATTGGGATTGGATTGGATAATGTGCGAGTGGATGAGTTTTAAATTATTACCCTTCCTTGTGTATCTAAGAGGACCATTCAACTATCTTCTTTGTTCAAAATCACACCCCCAGCTCCAAAACTTTTACTAGACCCATTCTTCATCTTTTTCCTTTCCTCCATCGATTGGAGATTATTAGCTTATTATGCAATCTAAACAATTGAAAAACAACAAAATATTTATAATTGGATTTGTTTATTTCACGAAAATTCGATCGCCGTTCTAGTGTATAATTTGTTGATCTATTGCTTTATTCATATTGTCGTGGATGTTA